CGTCCCCCTTTTAATTTCTACTGTCGCCATACCCTACTGGTAACGGTGCGTGCCATCAGCCCCCGTAGAGCCAATGAGGTCAGCCCCCGGTACCTTGATGCTTCCCCCATCCACCAGAGGCATTGGAGACTACTTGGGCAGGAAAGGGCCTGTAATTTAGCTCAGAGGTCTCCTAGAGACATGAGGTTCTTTTACGTGCCTTAAATCTACGACACGGGACACATGGCTTAAAGTTCCTCCCGGAGGACTTGTTCCCTGAATTTTTCTGCCCGTAAAAATTCCATGACCTCCGCCGGGTTTGAACCCACGTATTGTGCTTATGATAGTGTGAAATGCTTTGTGAGTGGGAAATTCATGACAAGTGTCACCAGAAATCAAAATGAGTTTGATGAGGGACAAAATTTTAAATGTACACATGTGTAGTTGTATTTTGTGACTTGATCTGAGGTCAGTGGAAGCTCAGGTGGAGGGTAAACCTGTGTAACAAGATGGGGAAGATACTATATGACACCTCCATAAACAAGCCAAATGACATAATACACTATGAAGCAAGCTGCTCGACTGATCAGGAAAATCAAAAGACTTTACATTATGCACATTTCTCAGTGGTTTAAACTTGGCGGGGTAAGTTGCTATCAGATTCTGGACTTCAATTATCTCTTAGTTGAGGGTAGGTGAGAGAGGGTGAGTTAATGGGACCTTTATGGGCTGATGACCATAAATAATTTGGGAAAAAAAACTGCAAGTGTAATTGGTACAAAAGTTGAGGTAAAATTGGCAGCTACTGACAAATACAAATTATGACGAAGTTGCAAGAAAAAGGCCCTAGCTTTATGTGATGGTTTTCAATATGGGACACATTAAGAAACTGATGGTTCCATTATTTTTTGTCACAATATTGAAGTCCTCAATATAGGCCATACTTGCTCTACCACAGTTTCACTGCATATGTTTGAAGAGCAAAAGTCAACTGTCCTAATTCTAACTTACGCCACTGTATTACATGGCAGTCTTAGTATCAATATGATTCAACATCTTTTCAGATATGCTCAATAATCAAGTCACATCAGTTAAAATTCTTATTGTGTCTTTAAAAAGGAACCATCTAGTGATTACTGCTATTCTCTTCACATAAAATAAGAAAAGCAAATACCTACTCTAAACTCTGACCATAACTGGAGGTATTCTGCTGCCATGTCATAGAAGTCTGAGAGTGACTTCCAGTGGAGTCCCTGCTGTTGAGTGTTTGAAGAAATTTCCTTCATTTTTTCTTTTACGGTTTCCAGCTCCTTCTCATATTTCTTCTGCTGGCTTAAGTGTCTAAACTCTTTGAATGAATGTGACATCATACCCTCCACCGATATCATTTCCACTCGAAACAGGTTCAAAATCATTGAGTATGTAAGTCGGAATTTTGATTCCAAACTCATTGGTTTACCTGTGTAAATAAATGTATAATATAAATAAAGGTACATTATTTACAAAAAGGATAATGACCTCAACAAATGAGAAGCCCATGAAGATTGAAATAAATCAAAAGTGTTCTTTTGCCAAAAACTGGATAAGTAATGTTGCACGTAGATCCATTATATACGCAGCTGTTACTGAGTAAAGCCTTTCCAAAAACAAACATGTTCCCATGGCAATGATTGGAGCAACATCAAAAGAGCTGTGTTTCCTGTTGGTCTGTACCAAGGGGTTATAAGGACAATTGGAGCAAGGGTTCGCAGTCTTGCGGGATATATGTCAGACAGTAACGAAGTAAGCGTGGAAGCTGAAGAAATCTCCACTGTTAGAAGCTGTTACCCAGTAATGGTCTACACACTATAATATTTTCTCTGTCATTAATTGAATAATCCCCC